AGTTGCACAAACTTTGAGTTTTATATATATATAGATTCTAATCTTAATCAATAATTCTAAATTTTAGTGGATGACTTGCGGTCAGGCAGACTTGCTGAATACTTTGATCATAAGCAGCATCAAATAACCCAGTAGTAACGAAATATATTATTCCATTATGAAAACTATCCCCCACCGCTTTTCGCGTTGACAAGGGTACCGATATAAGGGATCTTCTTCGATAGTTCACTGATGGAAATTTCTTGCTTACTTAATCTGAAGTTGATCTCTTTTCGATGAAGATACACTATCATACTATGGAGTCATTTAAGGTAGACCTTCTAGTGCAATATTTCAATACTCGTAATTAGCAAGTTGTGTCTCTATTGCAAATATCCTATATTCTTGCTACATCGATTTAGACGCATTAATATCAGCTCTTTGCTAGTGACATCGCGAATTCTTCAGTTTCTTCGATAAACTTCATTGTGATGCTTTTCGTTCCACCGGGTATCTAGGTTTCTGCGCATAATGTGCTACAGCAGCAGTTGTCGCCATTTTATTCTCTAATAAATTGGGGAACTCGTCTAGGATCCAGTGTTTTATGTTAACTCATCAGCCGGTTTTCCAATCATGGCTCTTTTCTATAGTGATCATAGCTAATCTCGTTATGGTTCGCTGTTTGTTTGCTTCATCATTGCATCGACCTCTTTGATATCCTGTATCTTGAAGTATGGAGAGCAAACTCGTGACTCAAAGTCAAATAGCTGCTCTTTGTAGACATCCACAATCTGGTTATCTTTACAGAATAGCTCAATTTTCTTTTTCTTCATTCAAAAGCCATGTGCCAAAGTCATATGCTAGCGATCTTTGAAATAATTGCAGGTAAGCAATTTTTCCATCTCACCTCCTACTGTCACCAGATGGTCAGTATCGGTCAGTTTCTCTATATACCCAATCTTGATTTCAATCCTAGCAATTGTGGCAGAAGGCGTTTAGAACGACTGCACCAAACCTCAAATGACGGAGCGGCACACGCACGTTGCGCCATAGCTGCGTCGCGGTCATCCGTCTGCGTCTCTTCTGTCCACGTCTTCTCTCTGCGACTCAGAGGCACAAAGCCGCATCGCTGGTACATCGCCTGCGTATATGCTTTACCTAATAACTTGCG